TTAACAACACAGATCTGCTCATCTTTCCCTTGGTAGAGTCACTAATTTGATTCCCTCTCCTTTACTAGCAGACAATTATTAGAAAACCTGTAGGAACTTATTTTACAAATTCTTTCACTTTTTAAAAATTCCTTGAATTAGTTCAACAAAGTTGGAACACTTTGTGACACAATTTTACCTTACTCTTGAGATGTATCTGGAATGCAACTGTCTTGTTTACTTATTTGTCAATGGCGTAATAATACAGATGTTAGCATTTGGCAACCTGTTTTGCTACTTTACTTTGGACTATAAAAGAAGAGTAAGCATGAAGAAAGAAATGGTATATATATCCCAGAAGTGCTATTATGTCCTACTATACAGCATCTTATATAGAGCTCAGTAGGGATGAAGAAAAACCCTCACAGTAGAAACATAAAACCTCATTGCTGATCATTTTCACAAATAAGAGGTGAGGATAAGAATAGCCTAATTCCTAGCATTTCCTATCAAATCAAAGATGGTCTTCACACCAAGCGTAGTAATATTCTTTATACAATAAACAATGTTATTACTCTTTGCCTAAAAAGCAAAGAAACATGATGCATGATCCCAAGATAATGGCAAAGACAGTGATAGTAACAGTAAGAGTTAAGTTTTCTTGTTGCTAGTAAATTATTCATCTGTACGGGAAAATACGCAAGATGCTGCAATGAAAATTCCAACTGGACCTAAGGAAAAAAATCCACAATGAGGATTGCCAAAGGTTGAGCCCAGAGAGGCTGTGGAATTGCCATCCTTGGATATGTTCAAACTTTGTTTGGATGAAGCCCTGAGCAATCTGATCTAACTTTAATTTTAGACCTGCTTTGAGCAGGGGCATTGGACCAGATGGTGTCCAAACGTCCCATCCAGCCCAACTAGTGTATGGTTCTACTCTAGCTACTGTTCTAGAGGACAGGGAATTTAACACTAGAAATAAAAGATAAAAAAATGGTTATATTTGGTCTATTTTTCCATACCTGAGTAAATATGCAGTAATTTCACGTACGTTGCCAGCAGTTTGAGGGAGGTGATTTTCTTTTCTGTTCAGCGCCAATGAGGTGACAGCTGAAGCGCTGTGTCCAGTTCTGGATTTCTCTGTACAAGAAAGATATGAAGCGAGTCCAGCACAGGGCCACAAAGATGATTAAGGGACTGGAGCATTATTCACATGAGGAGGGGCTGAGAGTGCGGGGACTGCTCAGCTGAGAGAAGAGAAGGCTGGGGGGAGATCTTATCAGCATGTATAAATACTTGATGGGAGGGAATGAAGATGAGGAAGTCAACTGTTCTCAGTAGTGCCCACTGACACGACAAGAGGTAATGGGATTTCATGTGTTTCAGTTTGTGTCCATCTGATCACAAGAAAACATTTGTTTTACTATGAGAGTGGTCAAAAGTGGAACGGATTGCCCAGAGAGGTGGTACAGTTCCCGTCTGTGGAGACATTCAGAACCCAACTGGACACAGTCCTGGACAGCCTGTTCTACCTTACCCTGCTTGAGCAGAGGGATTGGACTAGATAATCTCAGGAGGTCTCTTCCAACCTAAGCAATTCTGTGAAGTTTTCAAGATTTTAAAAGTCATAAAGTGGCATTTCCATCAGATGTCTAGAGACTCAATATTCAGTGAAGGTGAATGCTGTGGCTTCCCTCTAAGTATCATTCAGATTGCTACACAATGTCTCCTAAGAAAAGCAGGGATTTTTTCGTTATTTTCTCAGTCCAGATGTGTCCCAGTCATTCTTCCACCTATGAAATACAAATGACTCTTAGGATAACTGGAGGGTAATTGGAGACTTGCCTAGAAACACACTCCAGTGTAGCTCTATAGGGATGCAAGGTTGTACTCATGTGGATCTACTCGCAGAATTAGAATTATTCACTCATTTCAGATGTTACTGAGAACTTGGCTGTATTGACCAATGTTTATTTTTATTTCCGCAATTTACTTGACTTACTGACATCTGGCATTGGTATTTTTCAAAAATGTTGGCGATGCATTAATGAGTAAAATTAATTAACTGCTTGGAGTTCACAAGTTCTTATGCGTCCTGGCTGTGCCTTTAAAAAGATACATTTTATTCATATCAAATGTAAATTACTCTGTTTCACTTTAGGATGATCCAGTAGTTCTTCAGGGATTTCAACAAATGCTCCTCTACTTTGATAACACTTAGAAAGCAGTCTTTCTTTCCTATGTGTTAGATGAGCTCATATATTAATTAAAAAATTAAATACTGTGTTAGAGGACACCCTGAGAACTGCTGAGTACAAGTCAGTGATAGGAAAGTCAGAAGTTTAAGAAACACTGAAAAATGAGGGGAGCTGTGTTTTCATCACTGAGTTGAGGGCCGTAATCACCCTTTCTGTAATACCACATTTGCTGTCACTAATACATGATATATATTTGCTGTGACTAGCTCAGTTTATTTTGTTAATTCTGTTCCTTATAACATGAAAATGACCTCCTTGTTTGATTCAGACACTGTTCCTCTGTTACCTTTTAACTGGTTTAAGGAGATCAAAATGCTCACATCACTTATATGGCCCTATATTTTTAAATAAACCTGTTGTATACAATGCTAGGAGTTAAATACCTTTGCAATTATAATTAATGCATAAGCATTTATTAACATAATTTGCTTCCTCATGATATAAAGTAGGAGTATGTATTTAAGGAGATTTGTTGTACTACTTTCCTCTGATAATGAAATGAGAGCTTCTTCTGCACTGCTTCTCCTTTGTTCTTTATGTTGTGGTCTTCAAAGGTGCCAAATGCCACAACTTTCATTGTGTTCAGTGAGAGTTAAGGGCACCCAGCATCTCATAAATACAGCTTGGTACCGGCCGGACTGAGCTCCTGCATTGCGGAGAGGTAAGGCAGGAGTTTGTCGTGTACACTGTCACTTACCCTTAAGAGCGGCTTCGGTACGGCTTGTGGGAATCTGTACCAGCCACGTATGTTTGCAAGTATCGCAGCTGCTGTGCAATTATTACTGTATGGGCTACACAGTACAATAAATGAGGTAACTGTGTTTTTAAGGTGCTCAAGTAGAACATTGTGTATCCATTATTGTGTAAAAATGAGCTTAGCTGATAAATTTGTTTAGAAAATGTTGGGTTTTTTTTGTTTTCAAGAGGGACACTTGATAAACTATGGTTTGAAATCTCACTTAGAATCCAGTTTATTTTTGAAACAAATCTTACCAGACGCGGTCATTTTGAAACAGCCTGGAGAGCATCAGCAGTTGCTTGTTTTAAATGCGTATATATAAGTTTAATAATGCTATATGATGTTTAGTCCACATTCAAGCAGAGCCACTCTCATGCTCATTCTGAAAAATGTAAACTTCTGCGAAACTGACGGAACCTGACTACTATGTAAAATATTCCCATGAGATATATATAGTCTGTGTTGTCTAGTTTCTCAGTTAGAGTTTAGTGTTCTCTGACCTTTGACTCGGCAGTGTGTGCCTTATGGTATAATAATGCAAACGATGGTTAAGAATAGAAGGCAAAGACCATCAAAACACAACATTTTGTTAAACTATACCACGTGCTGCTTTGAAAGATTTTTAGCTTTATGAACTTTTTTTCACATTGTGGAGAAATCATCTCATACAAGATGAAGATTTTATCAGGAAAAATGATGCACGTTATGTTAAATTACTCTGCGTCCGGTTTATCAGGCATTCACCGCTGCGCTGTAACTTTAGCAGTTGTTGGTGCACCTGACTCAGCCTGGCAGTTGAATTGATGTGCACGGAGATGAACTGGAGGGTAGCTATTCCAGAAGCAGGAAGGGATGGCAGGAGCAGGCCTAACATCGTATTAAAGCCTTCTGCTGTTGCAGCCCATACCCAAGGATGAGAGGGAGACTGCGCTGGAGGGCCGATGCAAAATGACTGTTTATTTCAAATGTGGCAGGGAGAGGCAAAGACCTAGCACAGTCATGGGTGCTGTGAAGGTATTGCAGCCAATATTGGAAATGCCTCCTTCTATTTTTCTTATCATTGTAAAAAGGAGTGTAGAAGAAATTTTCTAGAGATAGCGCAATTGAAAAACACCGTTAAGGCACCTTTAGTTTTATGGATAATTTCCTGGTAATGCGGTGCGTTTCTGTGGACTGGGGAGATGCGCTGTAGCACGGAGCCAGCTTTCACCCAGCTTTCACCCGGGCTTGGTGGCTCTGCGGCTGTGGGTCCCGGTTAGAGGGGAGCACGTGTGTGCGCTAGAACTGCTCACAGGGTTTGGGCCCAACTTAGTCCGGCGGTTCGGGCAGGGGGGGAAGGCTGAGAAAAGGTTTTAAG